CAGCAGGAAAGCATTCTCAACAGAGCAAGCAAAACTGTATAGACCAGCTACATAGAGGTTTGGGAACATCGCTATACCTATTTTGTCCTCTATGAGACTGACACACGCAAACACTGGAGGGGAGAAGGGTGGGAGCTACATCTTCTCCTGGCAGAAAGACTGGCTGCTTTCTGACCCCTACCAAGCATACTGGTCTATAAAGTGTTTTCAGAGGACATGCATTTCCAGTGGGGTCCTACCTGATGATCTGTTGTGTTCCATCAGCTGGTTGTCCTTGCCCAGGCAGATGTCCCCCTGTGTGCTATTGCAGCCCATGTTCAAGTCTGTCTTGCAGAAGGTAGGTGAGCTGGCTTGAGGAGCAGGGGGGATGTGCTTCTTCCGCTTCCTTGGCAGTTTCTGCTTTGCCATGGCCAGGGAGTAGTACATCCCAAAATTGTTGACAATCACAGGCACAGGCATGGCTATGGTGAGCACCCCTGCCAGAGCACACAGGGCTCCCACTAGCATGCCTGACCAAGTCCGTGGATACATATCCCCATATCCCAGGGTGGTCATGGTGACTACAGCCCACCAGAAGCCAATAGGGATATTTTTGAACTGTGTGTGCTCACTTGCTGATGGGTCATTTGGCTGGGCTCCCACCCGCTCTGCGTAGTAGATCATGGTGGCAAATATCAAAACACCAAGTGCCAGGAATATTATCAGCAGCAAAAATTCGTTGGTGCTGGCTCGCAGAGTGTGACCCAGCACCCTGAGTCCCACGAAGTGCCGGGTGAGCTTGAAGATTCGCAGGATCCTCACAAACCTTACCACCCTGAGGAAACCAAGCACATCTTTAGCAGCTTTGGAGGACAGCCCGCTCAGGCCCACTTCTAGGTAAAAGGGCAATATGGCCACAAAGTCAATTATATTCAAGAGGTTTTTGATGAATTCAAGTTTGTTGGGGGAAAAAATAACACGTACTAAAAATTCAAATGTAAACCACACCACGCAGACCCCTTCCACATACGTCAGGGCAGGATCTGTCTCAATTTCATACTGTAGCACAGCTTCTGTCCCGTTCACAACTTGCTCAGTTTTGTTTATAATAGTATTGAAAGCCTCATGTGTTTCCAGGCAAAAGGTTGTGATTGAAACTAGGATGAAGAACAAAGAGGCAAAGGCGATGAACTGAAACAAAAAGAGGGAAAACAGACATCAGAACCACACAGCTCTTCACATTAACACTGTCAATAATGATGTCAATGTTCATTATAAATCTTTTCCTCGTTCATCCCCAAATGATTCACAAATCCATATGCATAAAACTTTGCACCTAGGCCAAAGGACAGCAGCAAAGAGCTCTCTCACATAGACCAGGAGTCTTGGAGATGGACACCATGACAGGCTGCAACTCATTCAGAAAGTGGCAACAAACTCTCTGATCTGTGCTAAATCATCTGAAATCCATTCACTTGTCAAGGTACCTTTCAAACAGTCCCCATATACACAACAACCACAGCAATTTTGAAGGCTGTCCACCTCTCACACACTGGAAAACTGTGTTGACCCTAATGGTCTTGAGATTATGGTTCAGGAATTCACATCTAGCCTGAAGGGCATCTTAGAGGGTCCTGGGAACAGGTCCAAACACCATGTTTCCTTTGGATTTTCATTTCTTTGCAAACACAGGATATTTACTGATAGAAAATGCCTTCCATATTATAGGTAGAGTTGGTTGCAGAGCTTGTTTAGTTTGCAGTCATCCATCACTTATACTCTTAGTTAGGATCAAGAGTAAACCTAGCAGAACTCCTCTCACTGTGGTGGCAGAGCTTTGCCAATGTGTTAGGATACAAAATCCTGCTATCAAAGTTAAAATCAAGGACAAGTGAACAAATCAGAAAATATAAATTCAGTTCTAATAGAGACATATGAAGAGATATAATACAGCTAAATAACATGGAGACAGCCCTCACAGAGGATTCTTTTAAAAAACATTTACTGCCTGTATCTTCAGCTCAGTTATCACAGTCAAGCATTGAAGAAAAGAAAATGTCCAGGACAGGATCTTAAAAAAATATAACACTGAGCCAAAGAGCTGGGAGGGAACATAACATTTTTTACACTCAGTAAAACACAGCAAATGAAAATGTGTTTTGAGGGCAGATATTCCTTTGCTACAATGGTTAACTTCTTTCAAGTGGCAGTACATTACCACCATATTATTGATCCAACAGCCATGTCTGATACAGGAATACACAGTTATCTTTAAATGCCTCCCTGAGTAAGGGCTTATAATACATTATCAATGTTTTTGTTATTCTGGATTTTCAGCTTAATAAACATTTTATAGCCAGTATTACCCTGGCAAAAAACTTTCTGAAGACTTGAAAATTTTCAAAGGTGTTCTCTACAACCAGCCTACTAGAAAAGGCAGCTTTGAGTCTAGGTCCTAGCACTACGGGCAAGAGAAAACGTGGCAGCAAGATGCTGGTATGTTACCACACCAAAGTCTTCACTCTCATTGTAAAAATCTAGTTATGGAGACAGAAGAGTAGCCATAAGCAAGAATGCCTCTGTTCCATCATTTTAATCCAGGCTGCAACATTGCTGCAAAAGTGATTTTGTGTACTTTGGGGATCAATCACCAAATTTAATATTAGCACACTAATTTATTATTGTGTGCCACAGGAGTCAATTTCAGCTGGTACAATACTGAATGGCTGCATTTTTTCCAATGTGGAATATCAGGTAGACAGTAAAATGTTGTCTCTACAACCGATAGAAAGAATTGCATTTATTCTGAGAAACAAGTTTAAATTTGCAACTCAGGCCTGGCAAATTTATTATATTCAGACTCAAAAGATATATCTGTCTATCAAAAAAACCCATATCAGAGATTTGCAGCTTGTTTATGACTTCCTTTCCTCAATCAGCAAAACAAAGTTATTAAACCAAGCCCCTCAAATATAAAAGCTCTAAATCTGTTCTCTTTCAGAAAGCACTGACTCAGGGACTGAACTGAACACTTATCATCCAGTCTGAACTCTAAGTCACGAGCTAAGCAAAACAATCTCACACTGTCTGGATTACTTTTACCAGTGTTTTCTGCCTTGCCTTAACTACAAAATTGCTGCATGTTCATAGCTCATTTATTGCTGGCATCTGACACCAACATACACAAAATAACCTCAGTCTGTTGTGAGACAATAGAGTCAGCAAATAAAACCAGATTTATATTACTTAAGTGAGTTAACCTCAGCAGATCTTTGCAAAACCTTTCAATAACATGGATAGAGAATTTATCAGACCCTAAAGCCACCAGTGGGCTAAAAATGACCCTTGAAATGCTCCTAGAGCATCCTCCCAGCATCTTTCTACACAGTGGAGGAGGGAAAAAATAATAATAATAAAAAAATCTGTGGAGGTTGAGGATAACTGAAGCTAATTCAGCCCTGGAGTTTTCAATCTGGATCGGAAATTTTAGGAGATAAAATACTGGGTAACTTCTCTGACAGTGATACTTTGGTGATCTCAGGCAACTGTGAACATTTTTTTGTCTGAAAAGAATAGAAAATTACATTCAACCTAGCCAAACTAAAATTTGCCAACAACTCAAATACAATGAGGATTTAATGTAGATTCAACAGTGCACTGAGTCTAATAGTATGTAAAGAATTATCTGCTGTTTCTGCGTTATATTTCAGAAAGAGGACATTCTGGTTCAGATCCTTTTTTTTTTTTTTAAAAAAAAAAAAAAAGCCAAACACGAAGTGATTACCTACAGGTAGAACTGCCTGACAAGCTATTTATTACTTTTTTCTCAACACTGACACTGCGAAAGGCCACAATGCACTTGGCACTCGGCACTCGGCACTTGGCAAAGCAGCTTGAAACTTTTAACTGTGCACCTACATTCAATGGCACTTTAGAATCCTTAAAAGAAATCAACACTCAGTCTTTTCCAAAATCCTCTGAGTATTCTACTCTGTTATCCTAAAGGCAATCATCTTTGAAGTCAGAACACGCATGACAAGAAGAAAACTATTAAACTGGTGACAGAAATTTTGTTAAGAACACTGGTTAAGAGAGACATATGGGAGTCATTTCTGAGGGGCAATGGGGTCCAGGAAGGCTGGATGCTCTTCAAGAAGGAAGTTTTAAAAGTGCAGGAGAAGGCTGTCCCCATGTGCCGTAAAATTACCTGTCAGAGAAGACAACCAGCCTGTCTGAACAGGGAGCTTTTGCTGGGACTCGGGGAGAAAAAGAGAGTTTACCACCTCTGGAAGGATGGGCAGGCAACCCAAGGAGAATCTCCATTCCTTATTGGATGAGAGGGGGAACATGGCAACCAAGGATGAAGAAAAGGCTGAAATACTTAATGTCTTCTTTGCCTCCATCTTTATTAGTCAGTCCAGCTGCCCTCAGTGTTCAACCTCCTGAAAAGGAACGTAAGATTGGAGAGCAGGGTCTCTAGGGTTAAGGGTTTAGGGTAAGGGTCTACTGTTATAGGTCTATGGTTAAGTTTTGAAGGAAAATGATCTAGCTGATGTGGTGGTGTTAGGTCACAGGCTGGACTTGATGATCTCAAAGGTCTTCTCCAGCCTTGATGTCTGTGATAATCCCTCAATTTTCATTCATAGCAATGTAAAACAATGAGGCATACACATTTTGCCACACACACTATAGCATATAATTCACTAATTTAGGGCAAAGAAACATATTCCTTTTATCTCTTGTTGTATTTTGTTTTAAACTGTCAACTTCTTGGATCAGGGCATTCTGGACAGAGTTTGCACAGCACCAGGCACAATGAAAACTTACACATAAGAAGACCTTTGATGTTTTTGCAACAGGAAGAGTTCAGAGAACACGCAGGAAGAAAATGCAATGGCCAATGCAAGAAGGGACATTTTGTCAAAAATTATAGAAATACAATTTAATCATATTCTGTCCCTCTGCTTCATCATAATTCTATCTTCTCTCATTTGAAGTCAATGATCTTCTAAAAACACATTCGTTTTTGTTTATGTGAGCAAGGACCACATTTCAGACAAAATCAGTGCAGATCCAAACTCCCATATTCTCTCATGGATGGGAAAAACCAAGTTCTCTTCCTCAGTCCTGCTTATTTCCCCAATAATTGGGGTATCATGCATGCAAGTCCAAAAGGAGATAGCCTGATCATTGTTTCAGAAATCTCACAGAAAAAGACAATTTTTTGTTTGAATCAACAGCAACCTCTTACTGTGAGAAGTTCTTAAAACTTAGGTTTTGATTGGTTGCAAGACAAATTCAGCCTTGGTGTGCAGTAGAAAAGCTTCATCAACCCTCTTTTCTAAACCGAATATTGCAGTTCAAGCACATGACTTGAAGCTTATTGGGGAAAAAAGTTGGAGAAAAAATTTCAAATAAGATCCAAATAATCATGATCCTTTTCTCATGTCTTGAAGTTATGTGTTGTTTTTTTTTAAAGTAGTTGTTTCTTGTTTGTTTCATTTCAATGTATGAGATAAAAGTAATCTTTCTTTACTACAGTTTTCTTTTTTCCCCTTGAGAGGATGGTTGTACAGACACTGCAGGGTCACCAAACCAGCCTTTTTCAAAATTGAAATTAATAAAAATTGGATGAATAAGAAGTTCAGTTCAACTTTCCCAGAAAAAAAAAAGCAGTTAAAATTTATGAAAGCATTTAATATGTAACCTATAGCATGCAAAATACTCCTCATTAAGTAGTTAAAGCTCTCAGTAGACTACTGATTTCCTCTGCTCATGTTTTGAAGGCAGTACCCCATTTTGTTAGTGTGTGTCAGCATTATATTTCAGACAATGTTGCTACAGGTTCCAGCTTCTACCTTCTCTAGTTGGTGGGATCACCAGCCAAGCTGTGTTGCTGAGTCATACTAATGTTCACAGTAAGTGGATTAATCATCTACAATTTGATTTTTGATGAAGCACATAAATCTAAAGTGAGTGTCAGATGCCTGCAGATAACCTTGTTGGAAGTAGAAAACTTTATGATTCCTGTTTTTAATTCAGTGTCCCATGGGGAACTGAGCTGCTCAGGGGTTGCTCAGGCTTTAAAGCCATTTCAAAAATGTCAGCCCATTCCAGGACTGCGGATTATCAGAACTTTTGTGCATCCACTGTTGTGCTTTACTTTGCATATAGCTCCTAAAGTGCCCTGA